AAATGTAAAACTGCTGTTCAAACAAACCACATAATCATCAAATATTAATAAACGACAATGACTAAGTCATTCGGAAGCCTTGTTTACATCAGTATCATGGACACTAGTGTTATTTTTGTATCATTGAGATAGTATTATAGTTGTTTTTATTTTATGTTTTGAATGTTATTTTTGTAGTTTTAATTTGAAAGGTTTAGTATTGTTGTGCGTTTTTGTCATTATGTTTATAATCATTTTTTAGAGTTTTAGTTTTCATTATTTTAGTACATCAAATTAAACTAGATAACAATGAGAAATGTTGCTTTGACAACTAGTTGAAATAAAATACCTATAAGTTTAATATTATTTTTTTTATTTGATTTTTAGTTAACTATATAACCTTGACACAACGAGTAAAATACTCCCTCTAAAACTTATGCCTGTGTGTTTGTGTTGCCATGTCTTTCTTTGTGTTTACCACATGAGGTGCCATCTGCCTGAATAATGTTCCCGATAATAATTGCAATTATTTCTTTTGATATGCTTCCCAACCTGAATCCTGATCCTGACTTGTCTGTCTCAGGTCACCTTACAAGAACAACTTTGACCCCTTGGTGAAATCGAGAAAATCCTCACTTATTTGTGGCCACACGTGACTTGAGGCCTCATTTAGATAATGATCGATATTAGACCTGAGAGAGGATTCTCATTATGCCAATGCTAATTGAGGTCCTGCGAGGTGGTCTGGTTATTTGCGGCTTCCTGTCACCATCAACGATGTCAAAGTAACATGAAATGGGGTGTCAAGGTGTTTGGTCACAACAACAAACCCTACAGCTGTGCAGGATGATGTGGGATTTTCCCCCACAAATAAGGCGGGTTAAAGCGGTATTATAGAGGGCTGCCCACATGATGTCAGCTAATGATGTCACAGCTGATGGAAAAAGCCACATGGAGAAACATCTGTTGAGTTGAGGAATATTTTTGGTTAAAGGTAAACGGTTGATCACTTGTGAGAGGAGATTGTTTGCAAGACACCATTAAAACCACTGAGGATACATGGGAAAATGTAAACATGAGCCTCATAGGGCTCCGTTTCAAACAGATGAAACATACACTGTGTGTCTCCACCCTTTATAATACAGTGTTTTTATCGCTGTTGTTGTGTTGAGGTAATACTGTCATTATGGCCACACCCGACCTTGTATGCACTAATCTTGTGTTTGGCTTTACAGTAAAAGCCATGCTATGAAGCCGAATGGTTAAAAACTGTGTGGTCACCAAGATTCAGTGAAGCTCCCTTGTATCACAGACTCTTTTAAAAGGCCATGTATATAATCTTATGATCCGAAACACAGAAGTAGCTCAAAATGAAACTCATTAACATAGTCTTCATGTGTGTTTGTCATCATTTACCAACCCTTATGTCATTCCTATGACATTTTTTTTCTACAGTGGAACACAAAATTCTTGCTGAATGTCTGGGCTGTTCTCAGTATAATTGTGAATGGGTTGTCAAGCTCTTAAAAGACAAAAACACACCATGAAAGTATTATAAAAGATGTGTATATGATTTATATATTATATTCCATGTCTTTTGAAGACACATGGTAGCTTTTTGTGTTGTTATGCTCTAATTTTTGTACCTTGACGGAATTCACATGGAAATGAGCAGCGTGAACATTCTTCTAAACTTCTCCTTTTGTGTTCCATGGAAGAACAAAAGTAATACGGGTATGGGACAACATGACGGTAAGTTTATAATGGCAGAATTTGTATTTTCAGATGAATTATACCTTTAAGGAGCATTATGAATGGCCAGTTTCAAAGCTGCGACTGAAACGGTGGAAATGTTTAGGGAGTACCCCAGAAAGTTTTGCTCTGAGCTGGAAAGAAAAACAGAAAATGGTGGCTGCCATGGCGATTTGGGCAATAGTCACACACAGCAAAACCTGTGGTACTTGTGCTTCAAATGATCATTCAGACACAGACCAAACTGACACAAAGATTCATGGAAATGTTCAGACACGTGATGAGGAAGGCACAAACAGGTTTATGTTTGGAAATAATGTAATGGGAGACTAACCACAGTTTCACACACACACATAAGCACATGCACACCTCTATAAATACATAAATGAAATCTAAATTAGTTCCTCGCTATTTATTGTTAATCTCAGACAGAAGCAGAAACTGGTTACATGATTACTGTGTTTTCACCACTATAAATATTGAGTCAAGGATCAATGTTCAAGGCAGTTTGAAAGCAGACTTTTAACATGTTAATTATCAACCAGAAACACGAGTGCAAATACAATGTTATAGAATTTTTCCATTCCAATATACTACCGTTCAAAAGTTTGGGGCCAGTAAGAATTTGTTGTTTAAAGAAATAAATACTTTTATTCAGCCATGACACATTAAGTGACAGTAAAGACATTTATAGTGTTACAAAAGCTTTATATTTCAAATAAATGCTCTCCTTTTGAACGTTTTTAAACCCTGAAAAAAAAATGTATCACAGTTTCTACAAAAGTATTAAACAGCACAACTATTTTCTTTTTGAGCTGCTGTACAGCCAAAATGAACATCATTGCATCATTTAATCATTTTCCTGTTATCACTGTAAAGCTGCTTTGAAACAAGGCCTATTGTATATCGTAATAGGCCTAGAGCTATATAAATAATGGTGACTTGACTTGACTTGTTAACTTATGTTTACCACAGACCTTATTTCACTCATAAATTGAAACCCCCCATTATTTAAACCCATAGGAAAATCTTGAGGGAACCAGTGGCGAATTAGTCTTCCGGGTTTTGACGTCATCCCTGCACCTCGCTATTATGTATTATTAATTGTCTGATTTGATTGATCATATTAAGAGAAGCATCTGAGACAGAGCTTCTTTATAGAGCGTAATTAAGATCTCCTGAGGTTTAACGTTTGAACCACTGAGCAATAACATTTTCCTCTGTCTTTATCTGAAAGGGCATTGTGACTAATGCATATAGAACTTCTCTCAGTTGTGAGAGCTGTGAGAATGTCATAAGTTGCAAATACAAAACAACAAACACCAGAAGGACCAAGCAGCATGTCGATAATGCTTTCAGAGCGCTCTTTTTGTACTTCGAGGAATGCAACAGTAGTTTGGAAAGTCTTTGTTTATCAAAGGCAGTCATGTAAAACCCTCCGGTCTGGTCTCACAACACTAAGCTGCCACTCAGAGAGCCTGTGCTTATTCTGGACGTAATCTTTCTTTAGCTCTACCTATACACTCTTATGTCTGCAACATGAAGGGCTTCCTATGTCATTCAATCCCAGGACCTTGTCACATATAATCCACAGTAATTGATTTCCGTGTGTATATGTGTCCCAGCCTCCCTCGTCTGAGTTTGTACTCAATGGCTTCTATGTAAACACATATTACACAGATTAACATTCACAATCAAACAAAGGAAGTAGTTACATGTTCCTTTGTTTGATTGTGAATCAAACAAAGGAACCCCCCCCCCCCCACACACCCCGACACACAAGCACACAAAAACACACCTGTTTCGAACTCCCTTGCATATTCATATTTTCACACATTGTGTGGTGGCATTTGTGGCAATATTTTGTTCTGACAGGAGACTGAAATGGCTCGCAGGAGAACAAAGGCGTATTTGGAGGCAGCATAGAAGAATCAGTGACAGATTAAACAGTTAATCCTCTTAAGTATCTGTGGGTCCGACACCCCACGTCAGGATGAATTCCTCTCAACACCGTGCAAGACAATAGAGGTAGAGTCAACAGCACAGATAAAGACCTCATGCTTCCAAGACAGGGACACACACACACACACACACACACACACACACACACACACACACACACAAAGGCATATATAACTCACAGTGCTTAACTTTCTAGGTAAATTAATTCATGAAATAGCTGAAGGCATAAAGTGCCTGTCAAGTTACATTAGAATATTGTAAAGATGAGTCAAAAACAAAACAAATGTAGGCCTACTTACACTCACAAAACTTTACATGTAAAAAAAAGAAAAGAATTGAGGTGCTTGATAATGATAACCCTATGTTAAATTAAATTAGACTAAAAGCAAATCAGTGTCTTGTGATTGTGAGTGGTAGTTATATTGTTTTTAATTCCTGTAGACATGAAATGGCATTTGCAACCCATTTTAATCTGTAATTTGACAAATGTGCTCTTTTCGATGATGTCAACAACAAAAACAAGATAGGGGGTATCCATTGAGAAAATTGACAATGGTTTATCTTTAATAACAATTCTATTTTTTGAGAGAAATTATAACTTACGTTTCACTTACGTGAAAATGTTCAGTTTTCAGGAAAATTATTCTGATTGGTCAATTTTATATCCATTTATTTATTTAGTTAAAATAAAGTGGTTGAAAACCCCTTCACTTTTCATAACATTCCATATCTTGTTAAAAACAGATAGCTTAAACCATCTTACGATGGTTTGCTGGTCCATCGACTGATATTAGAAGGATTTTGAGGCTTTTCAGCTGGTTAGGTATAGGGTACCAGCTTGCCGGCCAGCTAAACCAGCTGAGTAACAGCTTGGTAAGACTTGAGAGACAAGCTTAGAACAGCTTAAACCAGCAAACCATTTTAGGCTTTTTAGCAGGGTATAAACCATTAGTTACATTGATCTAACCGAGGAGCCATCCATGATTTTACCAGTGGTTAGTTACTATGGTCTTAGTAAATGCCACAGTTAAACTGGTTATGAGAGAGCTAGCCTGTGGTAAATAACTAAATAACAAAATGTTATCACACAAAACAAACATAAGGCTGATTATGATTTAAAAAATGTGGCCCTTGAAAAGGATTAAGCATAAAGCATTTTGATAAAAGTTCCTAATTCCTAAACCCTTCCAACTAATTCGTTTATAATGAAACGTATGGGCGCGCATGGATTCGTGGGCTCGCCTCTCTCTCCCGACCCATCTCCTCTCTCCGCCTCTTCCTTTAACTGCTGGGGGGCGTATTCATCCGCGCACACACATACCGATCGACAGCATCGCGCCGTTTTTATCTGCCTCACCAGCTCCGGTTTCCCCCGTTCAGCCTTTCCCCGTCAACTGCCGCCATGTTTTTCTGAGGCAGAATGACAGCAGAGAGTGAGCGCAGACGAAGACGGATATAAGACTGAAAAACCGTCGAATTACAGCATTTTTTTCTCTACCAGGCGACTGTTTTTTATTGCGGAGTCCGAGGAACTAATTTCTCGGTATATTTGCAAAAACCCAATGGCTTAATTGTAGTGTGGTTTTGTTTTCGTATGGCGTAGGCACATTTTCCTAATATATATCCTTTTTATTTCAGGATGGGAGGGGGTCCTCCCACATAAATATAAAATCCAGAAAATATTCTTTCCTCCGTTTTTAAGTTTATACCATGAAAAAGCAAAAACACAGAAGCATATCTGAAGAAGAACATATTCCTGCCTGCGCTTAACTACGTTACCTCTACCAGCGAACCTACAGGAATAACCAGACGAGTGATCTCTGCGTGATTAACTGCTTTACCACGAGTCACCTGCTGTCCAAACTTTGCTTCTTAAGCAAACTGAAGATAGAAAAAAAGACTTTTAATCTAATCTAAAGTAAAGATCCGACAGAGCACATTTCAAAGATGACGGGCAACATCCCTGTCGACATGGTAAGAATATACTTTTTTCTGTAAAGGATTTAATGGTGTAACGTTACGTTATATGGTAAAAATATTGTAACGTTATATATTGTAAATGTTGTGTTCCTTGAAACTAACTAGTATCTATTTTGTGTTACCAGTTGTTTTCTGTTGTTAAAAATGTATTCCAATAATGATCAGTGTCTGTTTATGGTAACTATTCTTGAGATGCCATTACTTATTCTTATTACTAATTCGAATACTAATATTTCAGTTAGTAAGTAGTAGTACTTATTCAGTTGTTACTAGTCACTATACTAATACTGACAAATTATTCTTCCACTATTCTGAAACCAAAATTAGAACAGTTTATTCAACGAAATAATACATTTACTGTATATTTGGTAGTGAACTAGAATAGTTATCTGCAAAAATTGAAATACACACTAGTTAGAAGTTGATAGTTCATATCTGAACCACATTCAACCTCATTCAGTTAAAAATGTGTTACTAGGCCTAGTATCAATGGAATAGTTACTTGTCACTATTGGTATTCTGACTAGTATCAAAGGAATGTTGACTGAGTACTACAATCTAATGAAATTTAAAAAACAAAATAGGCCTACTAGTCATTATTGGATTATTTACTACGTACTTAAAAAACAAGTACCTGTAACATAAAATTAGATAGTAGTTAGTTTTAAGGAATAAAAATGTTAAAATAAACAAGTGTTTGTCAAAGATCATAGAAGGTCAACTGATCTCATTGTTGCTCTTGCAAATAGATTAATCCAAGATAAACATAAAGGACTTAGTGTTATTATTAAATGCCTTGGAATCTTGGATCTCTTTTTGCTGTTTCGGCAATAACCCCATCAAAATTCCACCTCTATCAGGAAGGGCAGTAGTGTAAAGATAACCTATCAGATGGCTTACATAGTGCTGTTCTGACTGATAATGAGGAAGTGTGATCAGGGAGACTTCAAAACAGTCACTGTTCCATTTGCACAACTGAAATTTTCTCGGAAATGTGAATCAAGGCAAATGATCAAAACGAAACTCTAACATTAGAATCTTGCTGTCCAGGGGGATGATTTAATATAGGTTCTGTTTAATCCTCATTACATGCCTGTAGAATGACATTTCAAGCTTTGCACTGTGATGTAAGGCTATAATAGATTGAGACTTCTAAACCCGTGGGTGGTGGTAATGCTGCTATTCGCCAGTGTAAGTGGTTTGAATCCAAGGACGTGGGGAATATGCTTATCAACCATAAAATACAGCCCTGATTGTGTATTAAAACATTGAAACTAATATCAAAACAAATATGAACTCCTTCTTTTGGCACCAAACTGTAACACTGTTCCTGCTTGTTAGTCAAGCATGCTTTGGATATTCCAAACAGCTGATCTGGCTGTCAAACTCAAGAGATGCCGACGCTCTGACATTGCAGAGACTCTGTTTGATGTAATGTGCGCTGAGGGCTGATGTGATTGGCCTTTACAGTGCACATTGACTGTCCTTCTGTTTCTGCAATTGAGTAGCACTAAAATGTAAATCTGGCCCTCAGAAAGGCTTCCTTGGCAACTTTAGATTAAAAGAGCAACGGCACGTATTGTTAATTGATTTTAAGTGCAGAAATGTGAGCCGAGCCTGATGATGACGATGCATCTCTTGGCGTCTCTACAGGAAGAAAGGTTTTTCTCACATTATGCAAACGGGGACCAAACAGGGAACAAAGTGCTATGTTATAGCCTAAAGTCAGGTATTGATTATCTAAGATAGCGTTAGAAGGCCGGCATTCAAACCTCACAGGAAATATTTTTATATGGATTTGCAAAGGAACAATAAAGATGATCTATTACTAGCTTTAAAATGAATCAAGGGTGTTTAATGCAGGAGCTTTTTTCTACGTTGGGTTTAGGTGTCTATTTTTGGTCTCTCGGAACAGCCCGTTCAGTTTTAGGATGAAATGTCCACTCTGAAACTTTGAATCATTGTGTGGTCTCCAGCTGAGGTGCATTCGTTTGGGGGGTAGGGTTGTCAAACAATGGGAGTGTTTGTGTGTGTGTGTGTGTGTGTGTGTGCATAGACATCTTGTGGGTGGGCCTTTTAATGAATGGGCTTTTTTTGTAGAGAGCTCTCACTGTTTCAAAGCAACGAGATGTTGTGGAAGCCTATAGGTGCTACATCAGATATGCTCTTTTAAAAGAGTTCGCTTTGATCAGTTGTGAGACAGAGGTGTGAAGGAGAACTCAATACTCCCTGACAGTACTGTGTCACTTTGTGTGGTGTCATGTGGTATTGTGTCCTCTATGTGTAGGGGTGAATTAGTAGGGGATCGGGAGAAATGTCAAGGAGAGACCTCCCCTATGGCTATTGTCCACACACTTGAGTAGCGTTGCTCAGCACTTTCAGAAGTTTAAATTATGAAAAAAATGTATACGTTTTAAACTTCCTCTAGACATGAAATGGCATTTTATTTCTGTAAATGTTACATTTTTGAGTTAAACAGAATATTTGATCTTGATGTGATATCAAACCAGATTTGTCATCGAGACTTTTGCAAAATTATGTAACCAAGCTCAAATCAATAAAGCTCATCAGGGAACCAGATAACAGAAGGATGTGGCTACACAAATCAGTCCCTTTGAGGGAATTATAAAATCTGTTTCATGACAGACAGACCCTCTTCTGAACCCAAACAGCCACCTGCTATGAACAGGCACCTTTGAAATGAGAGGTAGCCAAAGTCCTTTTGTGCAGATATTTGTTGCATTTTGTAGACAGTGTTACGTTTATGTTCTGTATTTAGGCTATCTGATCAAAACGGACATTTATGTCCGAGAATTTGATTCTGGCGTGCTGTGTGTGCACACGATACTGGCACTCGTCTGTCTGTGCATCGTGTGTGTCACATAGACAGGACATTCACAGACAGCGCGTTCAATTTTGTCTTGTAGCGCTTGAATGGGTTAAGCATTTGCTTGAAAAAGAGAGTGACGCTAGCCAAAGAATGCCAGGAAAACCTGTTAAATATTTTATGAAATATTTTTCTGTTAAAAATGTTTTAACTGAAATTTTTTTTTAATCGCAGATGTTAACGCGTTAACGTTGACAGCACTAATATATATATATATATATATATATATATATATATATGTATATTGAAACGCATATATTCAAATATGGATGTCACTGTCAATCTCATAGGATGTGTCATATAGAAAACAGGCTTCAGTTTTCTGCTGTTCGTTCACTGTTTAGCTTCACATCATGCAGCTATTCCTTTTAGACGTTTCTTTTTCGAAAACATTGTTACATTATTGATCTAGCCATTATTTTTCTAGTCATATTTTGATAGACATATTTGTGTCATCATTTTATTTGTCAACATTAATTTTCATAACAGTGTTTTATTTAAAGTATTTTCATTATCTCAGTGATGGACATGGCCCGCACCCCGCACGCGGAGAGTACTCGTTTTTTGAGACCTCCCAGTACTCAAAATCTATTGTGAGAAAAAGAATCACAATATATTGATTGTTTAAGCACAGTCCTAAAATGAAGAACAGCATAAAAAGACAGAGATAAAGCTAAAAGTCTGTTTTAGCATCTGTTGTATCTATATGTGTTTGTGTGAATAAATGTGACACGTATAACATGGTGAGTATGATTTGCATAAAGTGCAGAGAGTGCTTATGGGTCAGTAAGGGTTAAAAGGCTAAAGAGGGAGCGAGAGAGAAAGGAGGGGGAGGAAGTAGCTCAGACTCACTCAATAAAGGATCCTTTCAGTAGAGTGAGGAACAATTTACAACAGCTCTGAGAGAGAGGTGCACGCACACACACACACACACACACACACACACACACACACACACACACACACACACACACACACACACACACACACACACACACACACACACACACACACACACACACACACACACACACACACACACACACACACACACACAAACACTGTCATGGAAAGTTAGAGTGATTCAACGTCAGTTTGTGTAAATAGTGCTCAGTGCCTTATTATGAGTTGTTTTAACTTCTCTGCGGTGTTTCTACATATTCATTACTGGACGTGAGTCAACATATATCTGTTTTTACATGTTTCCAAAGGTGGTTCTGTTCAAGTTTTGTGTGAATTGGGCAGAGGCTGACTGCAAGGGTTGTTCTACTGTAAACAGTGGCTCTCGCTCGCCTTTATGACATCATTGCACAAGCATTCTCTTGTAGTTTAGTGAAGTCACAGATTGAAATCTCAGGCCAGACTTCCCTTCTCTTCCTACATTTCCCTCTTTCTCCTCCAAGCCAGCCAAATGTTTTTTTTCTCTGATCATAAGATGTGATCTAAACACAACATTTTGACTTCTTTTTTAAAGATAGTCACTTCTAAGTCAACAGGTGTGAACTATAGCTAGAAATGGGCTAATATTTTATATATGAATCATCAGAGCCATTTCAGAGAATATATCTTTCTTTACCTTGTAATTTTTTATCAAAATATCATAATTCAATCTTTCGGTGAAACGTCAGACTTGTCTCTGGTGATGTATGACTCCAAACATTGTGTCCTCATAAACCCCACCCCTTTCTTAAAATCAACTGCAAGCTCACATTCAGATCTGCATCCATCCAATCAACAACTGATGGATTGAACCAAGTGCCTGCACTGCATTTTTTTGGTCATATTTTTCTACAGTCCTAATTTTTTTTTGCTGTGGACTGAAATATAAGACATTTGTGTTTGCACAAATTATACAGTGTTGTGTAAAAAAATATCATATACATATTTAAATTAGGGATGCTCATTTCGGTTAATTTTCCCGACCGACAACCGCCGCTCGTTAATCGATTATTAACCGTTAACTGATATGATTATAATATTGAATTGGCATTAAATAAAAATAAAATTGACGCGTATCTGTGACCCGTTAAAAATACAAACATTTTTATTTTATTTTATCAAAGGGTTTATTTTGACGTGCAAAGTGCAAACAGCAGCATACAGAACA